CAAATACCTGGAGCAGAAAGTAAGACATTCGTCCGCAATATATGCTTCAGCTATTGAACCTTCAGGTTGAGCTTTATTACGAACAAATTCTTTCAATGTGTGCATAAGCCTAGTCATAAGCCATATATGATATAATAAATAAATAAGTTCCTACAAATTAATGTTACGTTTTATGAAAAAACATAATAGCGGATAATGATACCTCTCGAATGGGTACATCCAGCGATATTGAACTGGTCCTGCAAGCTTAGCTTTAGTAGCTAGATGAATTGCTAAGTGTACCAATATGTCAAAGAAGGATGGAACAAAGACTCGCTCGAGCTTGCATAGAGTTATAGCAATACTCTTCTCTAGATGCTCTAGAACATCAACCTTAGCTTCAAGGTCTTGGAGCACAAGTATTTGAAAAATAAGGACAACTCCACAAGAGGTTCATACACATCTTTATCCAATATTCCACGAAATGTAGGCGGAAGCAAATCTTGCATAAAGACATGATAGTCATGACTCTTTAAGGTTCTTGTGAATTTTCCCTTACTAACATTCACACATCGACTAATATTCGAAGAATATCCATCGGGAACCTTTAGATTAGCTAGGAAACTACAAACCCTTTTTGTTTCTGACATAGTCAAATCAAATTTGGCTTTAGGAATTTCATATTTATCTCCAACCCTCTTAGGGTGTAAGCTATTTTTTATTCCCAATTGTACCAAATCCAAACGAGATTTTAAGTTGTCCTTGGTCTTTCCAAGTATATTCATCAGAGTACCTAATATGCTTTCACATATATTTTTCTCTATATGCATTACATCTAGGTTATATATGACGAATCAAGTTTTTGCTCCAATATGGTAATTGAAAGAATATACTTTTCTTCTCCCAATTATAAATTAACTTAGGCTTTGTTCTCTTCCTCTTCATTGGAGTCTTACCAAACATAAAGTTCTCTCTATCCCCAATTTGGTCAAGCACATCATCCCCAGACAATGTCTTCGGAAGAGGATCCATTTCTACAGTTCCATCAAAAGATTTCTTATCAAATCTCCACCTATGATTAGCATCTAAATATCTTCGATGGCCCATATATCATTCTTTGCTCCAATGTGACAAAAGTTGTGACCTTGTATCTTTATTACAGAGAGGGCAAGCGAGGTGACCTTTAACACTCCAGCTAGATAAATTTCCATAAGCGGGAAAATCATTTATTGTCCACATTAAAGAGGCATGTAAATTAAAGTATTCATATTTGTAAGCATCATAGGTATTTACCCCATCTTCCCATAACAATTTAAGCTCATCAATCAAAGGTTGTAAATAAACATCAATATCAGTTCCTGGAGACTTTTTACCAGGAATTATCATATTCTACATCGTATATGGCCTCTTCATACACATCCAAGGTGGTAAGTTGTAGGGAACTAAAAATACAGGCCAAATGCTATAAGTTGAGTTTAAATTAGCATAAGGAGTAAAACCATCAGTGCATAAACCGAGCCTCACATTGCGAGCATCTTAAGAAAAACAAGGAAATGATTTATCAAATCTCTTCCAAGCCATATCATCCGCTGCATGTTGTAAAATCCCATCATTCAAGCGTTTTTCCTTGTGCCACCTCATTTCAAATGCTGTTTTACCAAACATGAACAACCTTTGCAGCCTAGGTATAAGGGGAAAGTAGCGTAATATCTTGTAAGGTACATTAGATGATTTTCCTCCTTTTTTATTCTCATCATCAATATCATCACAAACTTCCTTCTTCTCTTTCCACCTAGGATGAGCGCACTTTGGACATTTATCCAAATTTGCGTATTCTTTCCAATAGAGTATTCAATCATTTTGGCAAGCATCAATTTTTACATAGGAAAGTCCAAGTTGGCGTGTGTATTTTTTGGCTTCATATCCATTTTTTGGGAATGTATCGTCAAAGTCAAAAGCATTTTTTAGAAGCTCCAATATCATGGGCAATGATTTGTCACTCCATCCACAAAGACACTTGATATGCAGAAGATGAACTATAAATTCAAGCTTCGAAAATTTTTCACAACCTGGATATAGTTCTTTCTCAGCGTCCCTAACAAGATTACCAAATTTCTCAAGCAGCTCGTGTGACTCACTAATCTCTGGATCCTTAACCTTTCAAGTTCATTAACTATATTAAAGGCTCTAGTATATGTCATGTCATGTAACATGGCATATGTTTCATCTACATCTTCTATTGTAGGCTCTTTAGAATTCAGGTACTGGCCTTCTGTTGTTTCAACTCCACCGTTATCACCAACTTCTTCATGTATAGACTTTTCACCGTGAAAATCCCATGGATTATAACTTCTAACTGTTCCATCATTTAACAAATGAAAGAGAACAGTTTTTCTATTTTGATGGTCATAGTTGTCACAATTTATGCAAGGACATCTAATCTTCCCATCTTTTGATGCATGAGCAAACGCAAAATCTAAAAAACCCTTAATCCCATTTATGTATTCTGGCTTTCTTCTACGACTATATGTCTTCCAGTTCATCCAACTTCTATCATTATCCATTCTGTTTAAATTTTAAAAAAAAATTAATGATTAGCTTCTCAGTATTAAAAGTAGGATAAGTACTATATCAATCATTATAATTTAAAAATCAATTACAAAATATTTAATACATTGGAATTCACTAAATTATAAACACCAAAGGATATAAAAAAAATTAATATCAACCATAAATAACTGTATGATAGTAATTAAATAGTGTGCATACCCGAAAGACATAATTGCGCACTTGCAAAGTACTTAATTTCAATAGGAAATGCTCCCCAATGCAACCTTAGAAAATAACCTAGTCATGTATAACAATTAGCTCATATAAAGGACAAGTACTATAATGAAGCCTACATTATATATTATTGAACTAACAAATTTAGAGTAATGAATAAGCATAATTGAAGAAAGTTGAATCACGACGCCAAGTGCTAACAAATCTATGTCGCAAAAGGAATCATACACAATTAAATCTATATACACTTGTTGACCATGATGTTTTAAATCTATATACACTTGTCCCAAAAGGAATCATTGTGTATCTACATACACAATTAAATCTATATACACTTTTCGCAAAAGGAATCATTACTATCTTCTCATCTATTGCCAAAATTTTAGTTTTAGACAGATAATGAACTAAATCAGAATGACACATTAGACCCCTCCCCCTTAATTGCTTCTTACGTTCCACGAAGTTTTGGCAGTAAATGAAGGAATGCATTAACCTATTAGTGTCAAGTGCAGGAATACCTGCTTCCTTCGTCCAAAGGTTTGTATAGGGAAGTTGAAATATTATGGTTACCCGTGGCATTACAACCAATGTTTTTGGGGCATGAGAGAGTAACTTGAAAATTAAATAAATAGAATTTTATGGTTGGTATTGATATTAAAAGATAAGATAAAATGAATATGAATATGAACCATTAAAAAATGATCCAAAATGGTACTATGTATACAGCAGTAGTAACAAATAAACAAAAGCAGAATCCCATAAAAGCAAGGTCTAGGGAAGGTGTGTGTAGCAAACCTTACCCTTACTAAAAATATAAATGCAATCTAACGCATCCTAGAAAGAGAATAGGAAACAAAGCAAATAGTGATATACTTTAATTAACTTCTTTGGAAAGGGGAGTGCCTTATTATAGAGAATTAGAAGCACTCAGAATGTCCTAAAAGCCTTATTGTAGAGTATTAGAAACACATGGGTTAGTTTTGAATGATTTTTGGTTTACATTTACATCGGATCTGCACAAGTGTAGGCAATAAACATAAGTAGGATGATCTGATGCCAAATTAAAAAATATCACTCTAGAGTGAGTACAATAGCAAGTCAAAAAGCTAGAAGGTGATCCTAATTCTTTTGTCCCGAAGCTTTTTAATAAAAAGGGAGCAGGAGAAAAAAGAGTTTCATACTATTGTTATACTTCCTCCGTCCCAAATTAAACTTCCATTCACTTTTTGAGAAGTAAATGTAACACTTTGTGGATAAGATTAATGCAAGGGAGTGAGAAATAATGTGTACCATGTTCTTTTAAAATAAATTAAAAGATAGTTTTGAGACCAAAAAAAGAAAGTGACAAGTTTATTTGGGATAGAGAGAGTATCACTACTACAAAAACGAGCATATAGACCGCCCCCAATTGCATCGGTTACTGAAAAAACCGATGCAAAAGGTCTAAAGCATCGGTTATTTTAAAGGACCGATGCCATTGCTCCGCTTTTTAAATTTTTTAAAAAAATTAAAAGAGTATTAGCATCGGTATTTAAAAATAACTGGTGCAATTGATCAATAACATCGGTTCTTTTAAACAACCGATGCTAATATTTATTTTTATTTTTTTTATTTTTAATTAAAAATAAAAACAAATTGGTTCTAAGCTTGCAACCGATGCCAAAGCGTGTTCTATTTACTGACCTCTCTCATTTCTCGTTTTTATTTCCACTTTCAATTACAGATCGCATCCAGCCGCGCTCGTTGTCTTCCTTCTCCGCTGACGACGTCTCCTCGCCAATCTTCATCTATCGCCAACTAGGGGTGTTCATCGGTCCAGGACCAGACCGGACCGAAGACCGAAATTGGAAAAATATAGGACCGAAGACCGACCCGATTCACAGTCAGTCTTGGACCGGTCCGTACCGAAAAAATTTAGACCGAACCAAAATAGACCGAGTAGACCGAAATTTTTTTTTTTCAGTTGAATTTTTTAAATCTAATACAACCAAAACACTACAAAATATAATTCCATACAAGAAATAGTAAGTAGCAACATCTATTCACCATTTGTACAAAACAAAAAGTCACGGGGAATTGGGGAGTAGGATAGCAATTGATTTAAAAAAACAATTCAACTAAAATTTTCATGCTCTCATGGGATTGTAGGGATGGAAATGTATGAAACTGAAAAATCTTTCATGAGATAAAAATTACACTTGGATAATAAAGTAGAGAGCAAAAAATACATTTCATCCCTTTTGTAACAAGCTTTTTTCTCAATTGCACTAGGACCCATTAGCCATGTAAACTGCAATGGAATACAAAATGCAAGGGATTGTTAAAAGAAGAAAATATAATAGTACTAAAAACATTGGAATGGAAATAAGAGTCTACAAAATTACTTGTAATCACTTTCTTCATTCCGTGACAAAGATCAAATCATCATCAATGTTTGCATTCTTCAAATCTGGCGATGTGAAAGTTACATATTACATTTATTCCATCATTCACAATTAAACAATAAAATAAAAAAACTAAAGTAGTACTCTCCATACCTTTCTCCATTTTTTCTAATTCTTCTAAATTCTCTTCCATATCAAGTTTTGGTTTGCAAAGTTGTGCACGAATCCAATCTTGCCCACATATAAGAGCTTGAACCATCTTTTATAACAAAACAATAAAAATAGAATAAATTATGTGAATAACTTATTGATCCATGTTTTGTAATATATAACAAAAAATATATAACAAAAAATATAACACATCACCTTTGGTGTTAGAGAACTTCGGAATTGATCCAAATGGCGGCCACCTGCACTGAAAGCAGATTCTGATGCAACAGTCGAAACTGGAATGGCTAAGATGTCACGAGCCATGCGTGCAACAATGGGAAATCTTGCTTCATTAAGCTTCCACCAAGTTAGTATTTCTTTTTCCTCATCATCTCCCATTATCTCATCCAAATACCTATCAAATTCTGTTCTCAAAAACTTATTACTTCCTGAAGTTCCTGTATCACCTTTCATCTTCATTTTTACTTGTTCACTAATAGAGGACATAAGATCCAAACTTCCTCCTCTTGAAGATGAAGCACTTGTCATCAAAATAGAACTTTCCCCACTTAGATGATTTTGGGGGGTATAAATCAGTCTATACTCTTCAAACAACGCCTTAGCAAACGTTTTATTTCTTCGGCAAGTGTTTCCCCATTTACTTGACCATACATAGAATGTAAAGTTAATTGAATGCCAATATACTTTAAATTCGGATCAAGAATCACACCCATGAATATCAACTTGTTCATCTTTTGAATATCGCCCCAATACTTGTCATACTTTTCTTTCATTTTAAAAGCCATACCTTCAAAGTCTTTGTCACCACTCAATGACCATTGGCTCAACAAATGATATGTATGACTAATATGGAAGAACAAAGAGTTACTCGTAACAAACAACGAACCTGATACACGAGTGGTTAACTCATAAAAT